AGATCGACGAATACCGGGTGCCTGGCAGATTCACAGCAGTCGCCAACAGCTGGCGAGAATCTGCATCAAAATGGCAAAAAATACATATTAATTAAAGAGATTTGGTAGGTTTCGAAATTTGTCGATCCGCTGAATTCCTTTCAGTACGTCCGAAAACGTGCATCTTTGTCGCCCTTGTTAGGAGCGTTTCGGCGCGCCCCTTTCTTGCGTTTCACTGGCTCGATGGACGTACCCTAGGAAACCTCTGTATAGTATAGTGCCCCACCGTCAAAATTCAGTTCAGCACCTCCACCATGGAACTCATTTCGGTTTAATTTTTCAAGGATCTGACACGAATTCCAGCCACATGGTTTGGTGTCAGCAATTTAGAGTTATTGGGGAGGAATTTATTAGCGTGACCACTGTATGTACACATAGCCCGCAATTCAAATCCTTTTCTTTTTACTGCACTAAACGTGTGAATGAAAAGGCTGCTAGAACTGAAGGCAAATCGGTCCGAATGAAAAGATAAGTGGGTAAATCGAAACAATCGAGTTTGAAAGGTTTTTAACTTCTCCTGCAGGAAGATTGAATGAATGGTGTTTTTGCATTACCACTACTAATCGTTTCATCGAAATCCTACTATTATATGCTCATACAGCCTTTACGCATCAAACATTGAAATTATTTTGTGACATACACGTTTTTGTTCATTTACAATACAAATGAGGTGACGCGGCGGCGCTCACAAAGTCGCTTTCGTCCTTCACGACCGAAAAGTGGAAAAAGGGCGCCGTTGTGAATGGGTTAAATGGAAACTGCTTGAAGGCTTGGTTCATGATGTTCGTTACGGCGATGTGGGGAGGGAAGGCGTCCTGCAGAAGGATCGGAGCGAACAGGCGCTCGTTTCTTCACCTTCACCGGCTTCGGCAGAGCGCCCTAGAAAACCTTCATATACAGTGTGTTTCGAAAGTTTAGGTTCGCTTCATTTTCCTAGACATCTCGGAAGAAGTTGACGCTTCTCGATTGACTTAGAGCTTTGTCCTGTTCTCAGCATATTTGAAAAAATCTATATTCAGCATAATGTCATCAGCCCTTCAAATCCACTAGTCTTTGCAAAAATTTGAACCGCGGATAATTCGCACGGTAGCGGCGCCTGCTTCCCTCCCCGTACATCTGGAACCAAATTCTTATTTATGGGAAAGGATGGATGAAAACGAGGTCGTAAAGAGGCGGCCATTGAGGGGTGGAGTCTCCATTACGCTGCGTTCAACTAAATTAACACGTTGACGACCGTGTGGTATGATGTCATACCACACTCTTTCGGCCACGTGGGACCGTGTGACATGATGTCATGTCACAGTCTTTTTTAAGCTGGTTTTCAAACATTTTAGGTAACTTATTTACGTGATGTATGCGCCATACTTAGGCATTGTTACAAAAGGCGTGGTCCCTGGAAAGAAGCTTCGGTTGATGGGCTATCGAGTTTTTCTAAAAATGTTTGAATAATGATCAAATCACAGGAATCGCTAAAATGGCCAAAATCGCATAATCGGAGACCTACCACACAAGAAAGATAACAAATACACACTTCCTGAGAAAAAGGAGTTCTCGTGGGACCGTTTGACATGATGCCATGTCACACTCGCGCGGTCAAAATAATGCGCGCGGTCCCACACGCCAGACAGCGAAAAATAGCGCGGTCGTCAACGTGTTAAAGGCATGCCCCAGGATCACATTGGTGTGGCTCTTGCACACGAATGCGAATGTATTGGTGCGAAGTGGGCCGGCAGTAAAGAAAAAGGAAAAGAATCCGTCAAAAACGCTTAGGTTAAGGGCTCACTCACCTTCCTAATCGGCTGTGCTAAGGGAATGAGAGACTAAGCGCGGAGAGGAGAGTATGAGGCGAGAGAGCGCTACAGATGAGAGATCGCCAGACAACAGCCTGATAAGAGAAAAAAGTCTGCAGCTTGGCAGCTTACTTTGCAAGGCCCAAGCGCTCTTGTCGGTTGGTTTCCGTGCACGAGAACGCCACATTTGTGATTGTCCTCTAGGGGTCTATACTACAGACCGAAGGAGAAGCGTTCACACGACTCTGCCTGGGTTGTGCCTTTAAGGTTGTGCAACGATGTGTCTGAATGAGAATGAATGAGACAAGAATGTGTCTGAAATCGTTTCTGACTCCGGGCTTAAATTATCTATCTACATGGCCTGGCTTTTTTATTGAGGAGTACATGTGTGGGCGCAATAACGGTTGAGGTGATCCGCAGTGATCATCTCATTACAAAATGCTGAGGCGATGAAGGCACTTTCGTTGGACGAAACGGAACCTAATCTGGACTGCACCAA